CTAGTTGAGTCCTGCCTGTTCTGTTCTCCATCCCCAAAACCCCCCAAAAAATCCCCAGTCTCCCAGCAGAGCCTCCAATAACCCCAGCAACAGCCCCTCCCCCGTCCATTGTCTTTTCCCCAGGTAACAGGGGTGCTTTGCTAATCAGCTGGGCGACACCGGAATCTCTCCTGGGCAGCTGCCACCTAAGCACTCAGCATACAGGGACACTTGCAGTGAGTTGGACATGTGTTTACCTCGCTCAGTCAGAAATACAGCCCTGGCCAGGAATTTGTCCTCTGAGAAGTTAGTGTGGAGGCCATTGAGGGAGGGCAACAGAGATGTTCAGGCTCTTGGAGACAGCAAGAAGGAAACTGTAAGTAAAGTCAAGTTATGGCTCTGGCCCCAGGAGCATCTGGCAGGCACTCTGATAACCTTGCCCCTCCAGATGCAGGCCCATTCGCAGGAATTTCTGTGGGGGTGCTTTTTTTTTTGGAAATATGGACTGCGAGGGTGTGACTGCATCCCCCATGGTCCCCCCCAAATAAGCAGAGAAATCAGCCCCAGCCTTTCCCCGGCTGGCTTAAGCTTGGGGGAGGGAGGCTCAGGCAGTATTCTTTTCCTGCCTTCCGTTGGCTGGCCCAAGCATGCTTACTTGGGGGACTATGGAGGGTGCTTTCAACCTTTCGCACACACACCTGATATGCGTGCTTTTCTGGATGAGTAGCCATTCTGCAGATGGACTGATGTCTTTGCCCCAGAGGCATGGAGTGTAGAGCTCTCTGTTTGCTGACTGTAGTTTCTCCTGGAAACATTTGCTTCCCATTAGTTTTAACTATAGCCCTAATTGGCTGGGAAAAATACAGCACTGTACACGGGCTGCCCAATCTTTGTTCATTTTCTACATCTTTAGAACTTGCTCAGATCTCAGCCAGTCCTATCTCTGTGTTGTAAGTGAAACTGAAGCCCTAATCTTAGTAAGATTTGGGTCGCTGCTGCTGCATGGAACTGAAATAAGCCCTCACGAGCTGCCACTAGATCTTTGGCTTCCACACAGCAACTGAGTTCAGAGGGCAGGACTCCTTCCCAGCTGGAAAGAGGAGTTAGATGAGCTTGTAGTGTTCAGTGTGACTGCTAGACCATGTCAGCTGGGACAGTGGCTTTTTGCTGGCACTAGCACTGTCCATTTCGCCTCTCAGTCTCCATTTCACCCATTCAGAGTTCCCCAGCAATGATGAAATGGGCCCCAGTTGGGGGTCAAGAAGGCAGCGTTCCTTGGGGGATGCTGGGACCCTTTGCTTGCTTGTTTTCCACACGGGCTATGGCCAGAGATGGCAGGAGGTGCCTTTATTTTATGTCAGTGTGCTCACGGTGCAAGTCAGTCCCGTGGTGTCTCAGTGTCTCTGTCACATGGAAGCCAAGTGCATCCTCCTGTGTGTGAAGTGAGTCTCATGGGGTTACATGTGCAGTGAGTCAGCTTGCAGATGCTGGGAGAAACATGGGCACTGTGACCAGGTGCTGACCTGGCTTCCTCCTAGTAAGGAGATATGGAGGAGGGGGCAGAGTTTCCACCTGGAGCACTAGAAATGCTCGGCATCCCCTTGATGATCTCATTACACACACCCTGATCCAGTAGAATAGCAAACCACCCCGTGTGCCCTGT